TATATATATATATATATATACATTTAGGTACTTGCTAGCCACTAATTTTCTTATAAAATAGAAAGTAGCCCCGAAGCCTCAACTATTGAAAGTCAGAAATATTCAGGCCCAAAAAGTGAATGAGAATACCTCCACTATTAGAGAAGTTCTTTGAAGCTATAGGCACCACATCAATTAAGTCCAACAATGGCGAAAGCGCACGTTTCTTCGTACTTCTATGCTTCACCTTCAAAGCTTCCATACAAGTTCCTTCCTACAATCGATATTCAAAATGAAAAAAATTCCAAGTTTTCAGTTTGAAAAACCTCGGTGTTTGGCACACCCCCAGATTTGGATGTTTTTGATCTCAGTCCTTGATAGTCGCTATTTGCCTCTGTTTCATCAAAACTGTCGCATACATCAGGATCAGAGAACATATTGTCTGGTCCCGGCTCTGCGAACTCCTATAAAAAATTTTTTAGAGAAAAGAATTGGATTTGCTATTTTGCAGAATAAACCTCATCTGAATCTTGCCTTTCAACAGAAGCACTGTCTGTGGTACCCACTTCTGCCTCTTCTAAAACGAAAATCGTTTTTTTTTTTTTTACAGAACACGGCAAATTATAGCAAGTGCTACGGTGTCAATAAGGTTGGATATGCACGGATAAAATGAGAACCACCGCAATATGTAGTCTCAAAGAAAGGTCTTCAAAGCGAAACATGATTTTGGAAAAAAACGATCATGGCGTGATTACCAAAAGAACGTATTAGGGTGTGCGATAAGCAGTAATTTCTTACTTGAAGCTACTGAATGAGATGCATAAAATTAAAGTACGGCATACAAACCTTGAACTGCTTCGGGTTTTCGTAATTTCTTATGCCTCCCAGATCCACATACACCAGTTTTCTTCGCAGACTTTCTGGTCATACCTGAACAATGCAGCTGCCACATATACAAATATATATATACATATGTACAAGTATATATTTACATAAATATATGCGTATATACACATATATATGTGCATGTACATAGGGAGGCATGCAAAGTTGAAATCGGCCAGCTTATTCCTTCAGATAAGAACTTCTCTTTACTATAAGAACTTTATATAACGATTCCTTTGTGTAGCTTTCAGCGAAGTGGTGTTTAAATCAAAAATAGTCCGAAATCCAGGAGAAAAAATGTGATAGAAAGCTCTGCAAACCCATACACGGCGCGATACCAATGCGCGGTAGACGTACGAGATTGCCCTACGCACATTCATGCTAGTTGACTGGAGCGCAATTCATGCAGGAATGATATGGAGGCAGATCTGGTCTGTTTGTGAAACTATTTTCTTGGATTTAACAAAAAACTGAATTGCTCTGGTAGCAGTGATGCCGACGTAAGTTATCAACTGTTTTCAGACTACCTTGAAGAACATAGATTATAATTTGGATTTTAGTTTCGGCTTGCTAGATGACGACGAGAACGATGAAAATGTCTACATGGGTCATGAAGACCTCCTCTTTAAGCGATTTGCC